ATTACTATTATTATTGTTATTATTATTATTAATATTATTATTATTATTATTATTACTATTATTATTGTTATTATTATTATTATTGATAATATTATTATTGATATTATTATTATTGTTATAATTATTTTTATTAATATTATTATTATTATTATTGTTATTATTATTTTTGTTATTATTTTTGTTATTATTATTATTATTATTGTCATTGTTATTATTATTATTATTATTATTATTATTTTTATTATTAATTTTATTATTATTATTAATATTGTTAAGGGGGACACAGTTTTGGCATGGGTCCTAGTCAGTTTCACATTTTCCTAACTTGTGAAGCTGAAAATGCTGGGAAATGCTCTCTGAAAACATCAGCTCTGCCAACAAATTCGACTCTCACCTCCCAGAAGGTAGGTAACATAGTTATCTGCCGGGTGACTCCTGGGTAACTTACTTAGTAAGGCTGACGAGAGCGTGTGAAAGCGAGTACTCCGCACTTAATCTGGGTTTTGTTGGTTATGAAGCGCGGGGCCGGTAAATCTAGAACGTCTGAACTACAATAGGCGGCTCCCTGATCTGCGTCTGATCCCTGAGAGACGGCAGTTTTTGAATCCTAGCAGTAGGTATAAAATGCAACATTTAATCGTTTGTGCAATGGACAAAACAAAAGGATTTAATACCTCAGGTTGTAATTCAACTACGTTGAAGAATTCATCCTCTTCGGAGGTCGGCTCTACGGATTCTGGGGAGAGCCATTTATTGCATTTGATTGATCCGTTCATGAGGAATGCAAAAACCCAGCTAATTAGATTTTAGAAAAGAATAAAAGTATAGAAGGTGGACTACCGAACTCTCAAGCTCCACAGACCAATAAGGATATAAACATGGGTAAAGCTCAGGCAAAAAAAAGTGATGACCAGAATGCTGACATACATAAAAGGATTACCCAACTAGAACAGCTTTGTGTGTCTTTGAAAAGCGAGGTTCTTCAACTGAAGGCTGAGAATGAGAAGCTAAAGAAAGAGAAACATGTGCAAATTACAAAAAATAAGTCTACTGATAGTAGTGATAAAGAAAAAGACGCTGCACCAAAAGCAAGGCAGGTGAAGTCAATCTTGTACGCCTACTCAACAGATGAGGAAGACCTCGCCAGAGAAACAGATTGGATCCTAAAGCAAAAGGGGTTCAGTAAAAAACGAAAAGCGGAATCATCTCCGGAAGTGGTTCAGGTGACGATTATCGCTGAGAAAGCGGATGTTCCTGATTCTAAAAGTCGATGCGGTGTCAGGAAAAACTCTAGCCCGGCTCCAGCAGTCATAAGTAATGTGGTTGACTATAATCAAATAGAGTCAACATTAAAAAATAAGGACATCAATTATAAGGTTAAAATGATGAATAATAATCAATTTAAGCTTGTTGTAAATTCCGAAATGGGCTACAGGAATCTTACCAAGCAGGCTAAACCATTAAAAGTCATGGTAAGAAATCTTCACCCCAGTCGTAAATCGGAAGATATAAAAGAGGATTTAAGCTCTAGAGGTTACAAGATCTTAGATATAATCAATGAAATTAAAAAAATAAAAGAAAATGGGAAAAACATTATGGTGCCTCTACCGCTGTTTACGTTAACATTCTCAAATGACGAGGAGATGAAAAAAGTTTATGAAATCGATCACATAAACAGGATGAAAGTTAGGATAGAGGCACTTCGAAAGAATAGGATCATTCCGCAGTGTCAAAGGTATGGGCATACACAAAAATTTTGCCAGAAAGAACCAATTGTGTTAAATGTGCAGGCAGATACTTAACATCAGATTATAGTAAGCCAAAGAGTACTGAAGAAAATTGTTCCAAATGCTTGGAACAGTTTTCTGCAATACTCTTTGCCCACCCAGCAAACTATAGGGGATGCCTTGTAGCTAAGGAACTACAAAAACGTAGAAATAAGAACAGCAACAACAACTTGAAGAAGAATGCTGAACAACCACCGAGGCAGTTCGCCTCGAGAATGGTTTCAAAAGATGTAACATACAGGGACGTTCTCAAAACGAAAACTATTGACGGTTGCACGAGCAATAAAGCAAGGGCCAGTGACGTGAATGTTCTGTATAAAATGCAAAATATGATGCAGAACATCCTAAATATGATGAACAAGATCTCTCAGAGAATGAGCATTTTAGAGAGCGAAGGGAAAAAATCGAGTACCAAAAGACCTGGTAAATGATGGCAAAAGGTAATTTTAAAATAGCAACATTGAATTGCAATGGTATTGCAAATAAAAAAGACATACTTGAAGTTTTTGTACATACACAGAATATAGACGTGTGCTTCGTAACTGATACACATATGACCCTAAGAAGAAGGATTCGGTTTCCAGGTTATAGAATTTACAGCTCGAACCACCCTGGAAATATAGCGAAGGGCGGAACGTTAATTAATAATAAAAGAAAATATAGTGCATTGCGATCTGCACCAGATGCAAACCGAGGGAAAGCAAATGACGGCGGTTCAGATAACTTCGACTAAGCAAAAATTTGAATTGGCTGCATTATATTGTCACCCCAGATTTAAAATTACGGCCGAAATACTTCAAAACGTTCTGATAGATCTAGGCGATAGATTTATATTGGGGGGGTGATTTTAACGCCAAGAACACTGATTGGGGTTCAAGGCATACTTTACCTAGGGGAAGAGAACTTGAGACTAGGGGAAGAGCTGTTAATAAGTGTCTAGATTTAATAGATTTCTTCATAACAAAACGGATTGCGAAAAATTTCATCGAGGTACATGATAACTATGATCTTCACTCCGATCACTCGGTGGTTATTCTTGAACTTAAGAAAAATATAGTTATGAAAAGAGCGAAACCTGCGCTGACAAATGGAACTACAGATTGGTCGAGATTTCGCTTAGAGATTGAACGACAAATAGATGTAACGAAAAGAATAAGAACGACCCAGCACATAGATGAGGAGGTCGAAAACTTTATTAAAATTATTCAAAATGCGGCTTGGAGTAGTTCGAAAATTAATGCTATTAGAAGGGGAGGCATTAACTATCCCCCACATGCTTACGCGCCTAATAAATGCGTGTATAAGGTTTAATTACGTGCCTGAAATTTGGAAAGTTGCAGAAATAATCATGCTGCACAAACCTAGCAAACCTATAGACAGGGCAACTTTTTATAGACCATTCTCATTGTTGCCGATGATTTCAAAACTGATAGAGAAACTGTTATTCAGAAGACTTCAGCTATAATTGAAAGTAAAAGGTTAATCCCGAATCATCAATTTGGTTTTCGCCGGAAACACTCAATCATAGATCAGATTCATAGAATAACTGACCTAATAGAAAATTCACTTGAAGAAAAAACAATATGCTCTATCATATTTTAGTACGTAGCCCAGGCCTTCGATAAGGTTTGGCATTGTGGATTAATAAAACAGCTCAGGCGATTACTACCAAGGCAGTATGTTGATCTGCTCGAATCTTACCTGACTAATGGGGTATTTCGAATTAAACAGAAGGAGGAGTACTCTTCGCTTAGGGATATCAGGTCAGGGGTACTACAGGGGAGTATACTTGCTATACACGTATGATATTCCTGAATCCGAAGGAGTAACAACAGCTACATTTGCTGATGATACGGCAGTTATCGCAATAGGACGAAATGAAAATGATTCTACACAAAAATTACAAAGGGCCAGTGATGAGATCTCACAATGGACTAGAAAGTGGAATATAAAACTTAACGGGGTCAAATCAGTACACGTAAATTTCACTATAGGAAAATTTACAATTCATTTTCGGTGCGGATAAATGGCGTCTTGATTCCGTCCGCAAACACGGCGAAGTATTTGGGAATGACGTTGGACGCTAAGCTCAGATGGAAGGAGCACATAAAGAAAAAGAGGTCTCAACTAGAGGAGAAATACAGAAAGTTTGAATAGCTTTTGGGGAGGCGTTCTAAATTGACAATATACAAAAAAGTTTTGATATATAATCAAATATTTAAGCCTGTCTGGGCTAACGGTATTCAGTTATGGGGCTGCGCTGCGCATACTCATATCCATTCTGTACAAAGATTTTAAAATAGAGTATTACGGGACATTGTAAACGCCCCCTTGTATGTCCGTAAAACGCCCCCTTTGTTAGGAGACTTAAACGTACGAAACCTTTCGAGTTAGTTTTATGTTTTTTATTTGGAATACGCTATTGTGCCAGATCAAAAGCCTGTAAATAATCAAAAAGAGCAAAATTAATGGTTAGTCGTTTCCGACTAGTTTTACAGTTTATTTTGAGGAGGGTGTTTTTTAGTGGATTAAAGTTTGTCTTTCGAGATTTTTCACCCTTCCTCTCGGTAAAAAAAATATTATTGATATTATTAAAATTATAATATGGTTAAACTTGGCTCCTGTATATTGATCTTGTGTTATTCCTAATTTTATATTTGTGCACAATATTGGAAAATATGTGCGGAAATAGTATATATATATTGAATATATATCACATATTGATATGTGTGTTACAGTATATACAATAAAGTTGTTATAAATATAGTAGCCGATTTTCATATTGCAGTTATAAGATTATGCAAAATTTAAAATACAAAATATACCACACATTCTTTATCAAAAGTTTTTGTTGTATTATTTTGTTCTTCCAATTTATTCAATTTTTATACTTCATAAAATTAATTTTCAGATTTATAATAAATACAATTTTTGATAAACTACAAAAAAATACAATTTTTTATATTCTTTTTAACGTATAAATGAATTTTTGACTAAAATCAAAAAAACAATACATTCTGTAAAGTAATTTTCTAAATAAAAGGAAAAAACAATCTCAAAATAAGTTGAAACAAACACCTCAAGGTTTGTCACATTGATATAGCACTCTTTTTTTTACAAACAGAGTTGGACAAAGTATTATTTTAATGTAGGAATATTTTGCTAATAATACTGTGAGGTGACTTCTATTACATTACTTTGAAACCACTATGCTAGATTGTTAATACCGATTTTATAATTTATTACTTATAAGAGAAAAATTAATAAAAAAGTGGAAAACTTTATATTTAAAATTAGTTATAGCGGAATCGTACTGAGTATTAGATTATTACGTTTACTGAAATAGAAAAGGTAATATGTGTACATGCACATAAATATACTTAATTTTTTTAAGTGAATTTTACTTAGTTGTATAATTAAAACGAAAATTATACATGTTTTTTGTATACACAAATAAACAAAGCATAAAACAAAAGTTTAAATATTGGAATAAATACCAAAAGTGTTTACTTATAAGTATTTTAAGTACAGATATATATTTTTTGAATAAAGTAACATATTAATATAATTAGCTAAGAACTATAGTGTTTTGCAACAATTTTTGAATTTAATACAAATAATAAATTTTTTTTAAATATACGTACATACATCGATTATGTATATATTAAAGAAAAAATTTGGCGCAATTTAAAATAGTGTAAAAATACTAAACTAACTACTAATTAGATTTATTTATAAAATCAAAAATGTTCACCAAATTTCACTGTTAAATTTTCAACTTAATTTGTTACATAATTTAAAATATTTTTACCGCCCTTATTGTGTATACAATGGGTAGGTTATGTGATGGCAACAAATTTTGCATATCGGGTTTTCGGTGGTAATGCACTTCTCCATAGTAGAGAAGTGTAAATAAACTACTTTTTGCAGGTTGTCGGTGTGTATCTCACGTTCGGCTAAATCGATTTTGTTGACATTTTATATGGGCTTGAAAACTGATCTGCAGACCGATTTTACATTTTTTACCATATCTACGGAACGAATTGATGGAATTTCTTGAAATTTGATATATGAGTTATGGTGATGGAATTTCTTGAAATTTGATATTTAAGTCCCAAACTAACTTGCGAGCATTTCAGACAATTCGGATTGCATAAAGCGAAACCTTACTGAAAGCCAAATTTACATTTTTCTAGGTATGTTAACTATAAGCTTACTAATGTCCTATAAGTTGGAAAAAAGTACTTAACAGATATTTTTATAATATTCTGTAACACTTTCATTTAACTAGACAATACACATTGCGCTCGGTTATGTGCTGACCACATCAGATTTTTTTTTTGGAAATAAACTCAGTCATTTGTAATGGAAATTTTGTACGAGACTAGAATTAATATGTCTTATAACTAACACTTTTGTTCATTCATAGGATTATAGATTCTATGCTATATTTTATCAAAAAATTCAATATTTTTATGAGCTGCGTTTTATAAAAAGTAAAAGAAAAAACAAGTTTAAAGTTAGAAAAAGAAAAATTTCATAAAAATTAAGTATAAGAAATTCTAAAAAAAATATAAAACAAGTAAAAACGTTTCAGTCGGTATAAACCGATTGAATTACACCCTGAACCTTTCGTTATAGTGTAGCAATTACTCGAACCTGTGAAATAATTCTATAGAAACTTCATGGACATGTCTGATCTATAATTGGACACCCGACTGCCAAGTTTCATGAATCTGACTTTATAATTTTTCCAAATATTTAAAATTAGCTTTTGGAGTTGTATGGCAAGCACCTGAACCTGTCAAGCAATTCCACTAAAACTTCAGAAATATATTTAATCTATAATTGGATACATGACTGCCATGTCTCATGAATTTGACTTTATTATTTTTCCAAATATTTAAAATAAGCTTTTAGAATTGTATGGGAGCTACTCGAACCTGTCAAGCAATTCCACCAAAACTTCAGAAATATATCTGATCTAAAATCGGACATACAACTGCCAAGTTCCATGAAGCTGACTTTATTATTTTTCCAAATATTTAAAATAAGCTTTTGGAGCTGTATGGCAGGTACCCGAACCTGTCAAGCAATCCCTCTAAAACTTTAGAAATATATTTGGCCTACAATTGGACAAATGACTGCCAAGTTTCATGAATCTGACTTTATTATTTTGCCGAATATAAAAAATTTGCTGTTGGAGTTGTATGGCAGTAACCCGAACCAGTGCAGCTATCCGATTATAATTTTTGTAGCATGTGTAGAATGTGATTGGACACATGTGTACAAAATTTTTTATTTATAGCTTTATTAGTTTTGGGAATATTTAAAATAAACTCTTTGAGTTGTATGGTAGCTACCAAAACCCGTTGTCCGAATTAGTCCTATAACAATAGGATTCGTCCTTGGTACAAAGGAAAAAACTTGTGAAAGTTTGGTGCCGATTGCATTATTCGTTTTTGACGGACAGATGGACATGTCTAAATCGACGCAGAATTTTACGCTGAGCAAGAATATATATATATGTCCATACCGCAGATGACTCCTTCAAGTAGTTACAAAACCCCTTCCCAAAGTTAATATACCCTTCACGAAGTGCAGTGTATAAAAATTTAATATAATATACTTGCATATTTTTTACAAAACTTTAATTCTCGTGAATATTTTTAAATAGCTTGCAAGTTCTATATCCGATTTAAATCCAATATAACAGAAATCTGATGTGGTCAGCACATAACCGACCGCATTGTGTATTGTCTAGTTGAGTGAAAGTGTTACAGAATATTAAAAAAGTGTCTGTTAAGTACTTCTTCCCAATTTTAAAGACATTTTAAAGCTTATAGTTAACATATCTAGAAAAATGTAAATTTGGTTCTTAGTACAGTTTCGTTTTGTGCTATCCGAATTCCCTGAAATGCCCACCAGTTAGTTTTGGTAATGTCCAGAACTCAAATATTAAATTTCATGAAATCCCATCAATTCGTTCCGTAGATAAGGTGAAAAATGTAAAATCGGCCCACAAATCAGTTTTCGAGCCCTGATGTTTCCAAAATATTTATATGTTCATTGTTTTAATACGAGGAATTCATATATTAAATTTGAATGAAATCGGTTGATTATTTCTCTTTATATTAACAAAAATGTATATTTGGCCCGTAGTAAACGTCTAGTTGCCGATGCCTGATCTTTCCAAAAAATTTACATGTTCATTGCTTTAATACGAGCAATTCAAATATTAAATTTCAATGAAATCGGTTGATTATTTCTCTTTATATACACAAAAATGTATATTTGGCCCGTAGTAAACGTCCAGTTGCTGATGCCTGATTTCTCCCAAAAGTTAGGAATTTTCGCGGATGATCGAGCAAAGCTCATATATGAAATTTCAAGTAAATCGGTGAAATATTTTCTTCAAAATGATGAAAAATGTGAAATCGGCAAATCAGTTTTCGAGCCCTGATCTTTCCAAAAAATTTATATGTTCATTGTTTTGATAGGAGGAATTCATATATTAAATTTCAATGAAATCGGTTGATTATTTCTCTTTTTATACACAAAAATGAATATTTGGCCCGTAGTAAACGCCTAGTTGCCGATGCCTGATTTCTTCCAAAACATAGGAATTTTCGCGGACGATCGAGCAAAGCTTATATATGAAATTGCAAGTAAATCGGTTGAATACTTTCTTCAAAATGTTCAAAAATGTAAAACAGGCCCGCTAAATAGTGCAGTTCCTGAAGCCTGATATATCCCAAAAGTTGATCAATCTGTGCCATGGTGGAAATAAACTTACATATAAAATTTCATCAAAATTGGTTCAGCAGAACTTGAGATACATGCGTGCACAAACAGACCGACAGACCGACAGACCGACGGACCGACAGGTTGCTAAAAATAGTTTACTTACACTTCCCTACTATGGAGAAGTGCATTCCCACCGAAAACTCGATATGCAAAATTTGTTGCCATTACATAACCTACCTATTGTTTACACAATACGGTCGGTAAAAATATAGAGAAAGAAGCTCAATGCTAAATGAGTGGTTATTTTATATGTTTTAATATTCATTAGTAAGAAAAAATCTATAAAACTATAAAATTCAATATTTTTCTTACCACGAAAATTGTAAAAATTACTTTATTAAACGTTTTTATATTCAATAATCATGGTTTTTCGGTATATTCCTTTATTAATTTCTATGCAGCTTATTGTTTAAATCACTATTTATATACATTTTAGAAGATAAGGAAAAAACGCAATCGATCCGGTTCAATTTAAAGTTCCCAAATATTTCTTTTTTCAATGTTTAGAAAATGCAGCAACGTAGCAAAAAATTTCGGCAATCCATAAAACCTCTGTTCGAGATTTTTGCAAAAAGGAAACTGTTGGGCTCTCAGAAAGAAAAAAGTTTTGAAAGGGAATTCATTATGCGAATACCTGGAAACTCGAAATAAACTTTTTGAGTGTTAGAATATATTGATAAGGAAATCATTTGAATAACTATGAAATTTCTGAAAACGATTTCTGGTAGTCGGACTTGAGTTGGATTCGGGCCCTATAGTTAGATTCATTGTAGAAATATTTATTTGGCGTGAAACATTAGATTTTTTAAATTTTAATAAAATTAACAAAGAAAATTATTTGAGAAATTACATTGTATTCTGCAGAATCAAAAAATAAGTTATGGTACTATTTAAAACATTGGTCTCGATAGGTTTTGTTTGGAATGTGAAAAAGGAATAACGTAAAATATTCAAAAACTAATTTTTCTGATTCTGATACAAAACTTCGAGTTGCATAAAAAAAAATGATGTAATGGAACATAAAAATATTATTATAAATACTTTAGGAAAGAAAAGAAAAGCACACTGTACTAAAATGTTTCAAACTTAGATGCAGTTTTATTATGCGTATTTATTACAGGACAAGCAAAATAAGCTTTCCACACTATTGTATTTACGATTTGTATATTGGATTCTTTTTATAGCACTAATGAACATACCTCTACTGTAACATATTGAAGTAAAAATTCAAAGGTTTTATAAGATATTTCAAAGATATAGTATGTCCAATGTAGGTGGATCAGTGTTGGGATCACGAAAATTTAAAAAGATTTATATTTTTTAATTAAAAAGGGAGAACAAGGATCAAATAATTTTCTTAATTTATTCCAACTACACAATTAGTATTAAGAAAAAAAATTTATTTATTGTGAATTAATATTCATAAAAAATTTTTTTTGACTTTCAGAAAACCAGCAAATTCCTTTAAATGTTTGTCAAAAGAAAATGAAAATAATAATTGTTTAAATAAAAGTAACAGTAAGGCATTTCATTAATTGTCAGGA